TTACATGTTTTTATCACGTATGTGCACATTTTTTAGATAAAATTCGAATCACTTTTATTTTTCTTTTATTTCAGCTAAACTTTAAAAAACATATTTTATCACACATCAACAGAGGACATGTCTTATCAAAAATGTATTTTAAAAGGTACATCCTACAAAGAGCGTATTTAACTGACGTGGAATGGTGTTAATTCAATACATAATAAAAATAAGTATAAAAATAAATTTTAAATTAGTGGTATTTGGGCAAGAAATCCCCCAAAAAAATAATTCTAACATTTTTTTTAAAAAAAATTATGTGGTACAAAAAGGTATTAATTAGGGATGGTTAAGAGTTGGATCGGGTCTTTGGTTAATTTGATCCGACTTGAAAATTATATATTTTTCACTTGATTCGAACTCGAGTCGAAAATTTTACACCCTCCACCTATCCAAATCCAATCTATATTTTTTAGATAAAACTCAAATCTGATTTAAAATTTTATATATATATATATTATTTTTATTCAATAAAAACAAGAATTTAATAATAAAAAAAAGTAATTTATGAAGGGTCTTATTGTAACTAACCCTAAATATATAAGGTAATACTTATTTTTGGGGTTTAAGTTAAATATTTTCATCATAAACTCGACCAAAACCTGATTTTTTAAAATAACCCTAATAGGGTCGGATCGAGTTTAAACTCGTCGGGTTTGAGCACTATGTCCCTCCATTAATTCAAAAAATAATTAAAAACGACTGTTAGAATAAAGAATATTTGAAAAAAAAATGGAAGTTTAGGTATTAAAACGGATCAAAATTAATAATTTAGATACCAAATGCATAGTTTACCCTTATTTAAGTCCATGTTGCTCGAATTCTTAAATGCTTTTCTTTACTTTTTTTTATAGGGAGACGTAATTTAAATCGATATTATTAAATTATCTTTCAATGATAATTGTATAAATTAAATGAATTAAATCTGAATGCTCGTTTTTGTTATTGACGCAGATACATTAAGTTAACTCGAGATTTACAAAGGATCAATCTTAAATTATTCACTTCAAATGAGAGATTGATTTTATTTTTGAACTTATATAAAGCTATGGTGATCCACGCTGTAATCAGCATCAGACACACTGAAGAAATACTAGATAATAAAGTTTTCTTCATGGACTTTCAATATGTAATTGGAGGGTACTCTTATTCTCTCAGTATCATAGAGAATGGAATATTCAAAAACAATCGTAGATCCCCTTATTCCTTGACTAAACCCTTTGACAAAGAAGATCGACGTTTACATGTAACTCCTAAATCCATTAATTTAATTTTTTCCTAAAATTACAGGTTAGATTATATGTTTCGAATTTATACTATATCAAGATTTAGTCTTTATATCTCTTATTACGAGTAATGATGACCATTTAACCTGAACTTGATTGGTTTCAATCATACTCTATAGTGTCAATTTTTTTAAAAAATTGAGTTTTAGTCATTTTTTAAGGGTAAGGTAGGTCAGGTTCAAGGTAGGTGAAATAAATACTAGACTCAAGAGTAATAATATGATTGACATTTATATATTAGGAATAATTGTTATAATACCCCTCTATCTATATATTTTAAATTATCTCCTTATTTTGTATGATAAAAATGAATATATATATATATATATATCGAGTGTGGTGCAAATTTTTACTTTAAAAGTCGGATTGTAAAACTTTTTTAAATTCGAATCGATTCGGGTTCAAATGAACTAAAAACCTGACCTATCCCTAATTATGAGTGATGTTGTTGTTCGATCCACATTACTAACACCATTAACAATTTTCATTAGTCGGTTGGTGTCGTTAAAAATCAAAATATAAAGACCAAATCTCCAAGTTAAACATAGTACGGGGACGAAAACCGAAATTTGACAGAATAATTTCACTTCATGATCATGGAGGCATGACCATTTCGGATTATGCAAAGGAACAAGATCGAGCCCGAAGCTATGGTTTTTCACAGCCCAGAATGTGCAGGAAGAGCTCGAAAATGCAGCAATGGACTACTTTCGACATTGATTGGGAACTAAGAACTGTTTACTTAACTCGAATCCTCAAGTGGTAAGTCCCTCCACCCTAATTTGCTCATAAAAAGTTGAGTAATTACGCCAAAGGTCATTGAACAATGTTTTTAAATCAATGTTTTGGTCACTGACCTTACAGAAGTTATAAAATGATCATTACATTTATCGAGCTGTTATATAATCATTACTATAATATTATAAAATGTAACAGTTCATTAAAAATAAAGGGCAAGCTACGCGTTCAGCAGCTAAACTATTATCAGCTTTGGTCTATTTCAGTACCTCAACTTTTAATTTTCTTTAAAACCATGCCTAACATTTAGTTTTTGCTTCATTTTAATACCTTGTCGTTAAAAACTTGACGCATTTAGTATCTAAACTAACAGTTTTGGTCCGTTCAGTACCTAAACTTTCAATTATTTTCAAAATTTAAAGTTAGATTTTGAATGGGGTACTAAAATGAAACAAAAACTAAACTTTAGGTATGGCTTTGAAAACATTAAGGTACTAAAATGGACCAAAAAATAGTTTAGGTATTAAATGCATAATTTCCCCAAATATTAAAGATCATTTTGTAATAATTCTATAAATGTAATGATCATTTTGTAACTTTTGAAAGCTTAGCGACCAAAATGATTGTTTGAGCGTAGCTTAGTGATCTCTAGCGTATTTTACCCTAAACTTTTTAAACCATTTTGTTTTGAGTCCTTAAATATCAATTTGAATCAAATTTGATCTAAATTGTATGTGTGAAAGGTATACACACGTGTTTAAAATTTGATCGACATAGTTTGGATGTGTTTCACGACATATCCAAACCAAAGAAGGAAGGACATAATTTATACACATATTTTAATGAATTGATTTTAAATTTTGGGGTAAACTACATACTTAGTACATAAACTATCAGTTTTAGTACTTAAACTTTCAATTTGTTCAAAACCATGCTTAACATTTTTTTTGTTTCATTTTAGTATCCTACCGTTAAAAACTTAACGCGTTTAGTGCCTAAATTATCAATTTTAGTCTGTTTCAGTACCTAAACTTTCAATTTTTTTAAAACTTGTTAAATTTTGGATAGGGTACTAAAATGAAACAAAAACTAAAGTTTTTAACGGCGGGTACTAAAATGAAACAAAAATGAAGTTTTAGATATGATTTTTAAAATAGTGAAAGTTTAGGTATTAAAAAAATAAAAACTGATAGTTTAGGTATTAAACGTATAATTTACTCTAAATTTTAAATATAGTTAAGGACGTATGGAGCAATTAACCAACAAGTAATTCAAAGATGGAATTGAAAAGATTTTGAAATAGACACATGAAAGCATTGGCCTTTTCACTAGGGATGACAAAAAAAACTCGAACCCGACGAGAAAAATTAAAAACCGAATTAAACGGGTCGGGTTCGGAGATGATAAACGGAGACGGAAAAAAATTGTTTATGCTAAACGGGGACAGGGACGGATTTGGTAATTCCCGTCCCGATTACCCACCTCGATACCCGCCCCGATAAATATTAAAAATAATTATTTTATATATATATTATAATATTAATAAATTAAAATTAAAATATATATATATATATATATAATATTTATATATTTAATTTAAATATATATACTCAGCCCGATACACGTTTAAATAACCGTTTATGCTAAACGGGAATACACGTTTCCCCATGATTTTCCCCGATTACCCAATGGGGATCCCCGTTTAAATCCCCACGATTTGTTAAGCAGGAACAAATATGGATTTTTTAAACGGGGACGGGGATGGGGGACCAATACCCGGCCCGAACCCGTCCGTTTCCATCCCTAATTTTGACAAACAGGTTCAGCGCAGATTTTGGAGAGAAGGATGGAGACATCTTGGAGTGGGTGCTGAACTACCTGGATGGAAGAAACGCCAAGCTTTTGGCTGATGAAGACAGCATTACCATCGTCTATCAGGATTATGATTGGTCCGGTAATTTGTGATCGATCTTAGATCGGATATCGATAATTATATATATCGTATAAATCACGACACGCCATTGGATTTTTTAAAGAAAAAAATCATATTGATCTGCATTAGGGAGATTCTTTTTTGTACATAGTACCTCAAGCTCCAAGGTTTAATGTATACACATTGTAAAATGTAATTTTCATATTATAAAATATAGGGTAAAGTATATGAATAGTTCCCAACGTTGTTTTATTAGATCCATTGACTATTAAAAGTTACAAAGTAATCACTGATTATAACCTACTGACTGAGATAAAATATTAATATGAACTCAGAATCTCAAACGACTCTCATATCTCAGTCAACAAATTAACGTCCAGGTCAAACTACAATTAATTTTTTAACAAAAAAGACGAGTTTAGAACACAATAAACAATCAAGTAACCATTTTGTAACTTTTAATAGTCGGGAGACTTAAGAAAGCAAGATCCTATAGTCAGAAAACCATTTTATAACTTTTAATAGGATGATGACTCAATAAAACAATAACCTAAAGTCGAGGGACCATTTGTATACTTTATCCTAAAATATATTACAAACTCAAAATTATAAGATTCCAATCTCAATATTTACGATCAAATTGTGATTTCCTTTATACAAAAGAAAGATGCTACAACAGGGGAAAATCATTCCAACTCGGTGAGTTGAAATTGTTGACCTGATCAAAGCGTTTCTCATATTGGTCTAAATACTGAAACAAGAAGATTACAGAATACAAGCAATTACATGAATCGAAGCACCAAGTAAGGATTCAACTAAACCTGTTAGATTTTTTTTGGGAATAATTTTAGCCTCCATGGAGCAAGGAGATGATAAGGGGTCTGCAATTCTTATTATCTGGTGCATGGATTTGATATCTGATGGGTAAAACATTTTCGGGTACCGAAAAAGGGGGGATCTCTACAAATTTATCCATTGTGGCATCCAATGGTGGCAACCTATCGTCTTCTGGTGGCATTTGCAGTCGAATTTTCTTTCGTGGTTACACGAACCAGATATATCCAATCTCGATATTGGCAGTTCGATATCAGCACCTTGGTTCCTGCTTGAGATGGATCCCGCTTGGTGAGCCGAAAATCACTGTCTGGGTACACGAGGAAAAACAAACAAGGTAACACAAGTATGCACCAGTGTGAATAAGTGGGATCATAATAAGTATCATTTTCCATTTGCAGGTTCACCTATTGCCTTGTAGGGCAACTAATTTCCAACCATTAAACAGACACTAGTTGATGGTACGATGGTATAAGGGGTAGCTCTCGAGGTGTAAATTCAATCCCACCCGCCGTCCTCTCCATCTCAAGAGCAGCATGATTCCATGATAAAGTTCTCGGTTTATGTGACCTAACCACATGCAAAGATGACTACATGCCACATTAACATGAACAGTGTAAGACTGAAAGAGTTCAATATTCAGATCAACCCAGGAAGGTCACATTTGCAACCAGGCATAAAGTAGGCTTTGGCTATATGGCGTTTTATACGGCCCCACCCTTTTGGTCATCAATCCCAAGCACAAGCAACTATATCAATTTAAATAAGAACCTACCTGAGACAAGGCATTAGTTGCTCCAGCCTCCAGGCAAGATGCTATTTGCTAAATCCTCATTAACAGATACGGGCAACGGTGGCATATGGCTCATTAAACCTGGTGTATCTCTCATGCTGCAAAAAGTCCAGCTGAAATTAATAACTCGTATAGGAGACAACAAACCAGATAAATAATCAAAATGCTTCCCAGAAGGCATTAATCACCAATTGACTATCAAAAAGGAAATCAACGTACTTGTTTAGCATGGCGGTAATATTGTTCCTTGCTTGACAAAAGAGATCGATGTAATCCGGTAACTGTTTATAAAAGCTTTAATCAATAAGCCAACCTCGGAATACTTTTAAGTTTTAACAAGAATCATACATGATAAGGCAATCACATACAGGATTCAAAGAGCACTATGCAAAAGAAGAATAAATAGAATCCATGACACTTCCTAGAAAGACGAATACCACTTGCAACAATACGCAGTGAAGAGCATGAACGCAGAAATACATTTATATACCACCTTATATCAGTTTGCAAATGAAGCTACAAATTTTGGGCGACAATGGTAGATCCAAAAATTTTGATCTTAATAATTTCATCAGTGATGTATGATTCTCATCGTCTCACTCTAAAGCCATCAACACTAATCAATTAATAAAGGAATCATTATCACCTTAGTTAACATCTTCAACTTTACTGCAAACACTAGCATAACTTGCAAACTAAACATTAAAAAAGTAGAATAAACAAGAAGGTGTAGATTCATCACATTAAAACCTATTATTTACTGCATGGTTGCATACTGACGAACAAAGAAAGGTTATGACCCAGGGAGTGATACCTTATATGCAGAAAGATTGGATGAGATTTGGCTGAGAGTTTGAGCATTTTGCTTCAAAAGATGCATAGTTGTACCGCATATTCCTAAGATCATACAACAAACAAGCAGATTAAACAATAAAACAATACAGCAGGTAAAATTTGCAGATTAAATATTGAACCCTTGCGGCAAACTACAATAAGTTTTTCACCAAGTAAAACCTCTCATAAACTAAAAAGAGAAGGGAAGAATAACATATAAAGTTAAGGAAATAAATAAATAAAAATTAGTTTGATAATATCAAAGAAAATGGCACAGGTGAAAAGTTAAGGAAATAAATAAAGCAAAGTTAAGGTGATTTCGGTAAGGAAAGCAAAATACCAGAAACCTAGGTATTTAACAATAAACCTCTCATAAACCAGTGGCATTTAATATATGAAGTTAAGGAAATAAAAAAAACAGTTTAATAAACTCTATAGCTTTATTGTTAAATGCCACAGGTGTTTAGGCTGTGCTATAATTTCGCATATATTCACTGTGTAGCTACTTGACTGAAGCCGGATGCTAGATTCATTCTTCGACCTCATAAAAGAAAGACCAAAATTTCTGTTAAGTTTTCAAAGCTTACTCTTTTGCAATAGTTTTAAATTTTGGAAGATCAGTTTGTAAGATTAGGGAAAATTCTGTTCTATATTTCGTGAAATAATACCAATGGGGAGACTCGGATAAATACTGAGAGAGAGACACTGATCAAAAGCAATCACAACCAAAAGATTTAAGAAAGGTATTGATACTTCTAGGTGATAATATAACATACAAACCTTCGGAAGGCATTCTTTCATTCTGGTCCAGATGGTGCATCATCGGGGGATATGCAGCCATGGTTTGTGGCAGAGATGAAGGCATATTCATCTTAGAAGATGATTCCACCAGCTTATCCTGAAGAAGTATGATCTTTAGAATATGGGTTATTCGATCACAATATATCCAAAAGACATCGGTTGCTTTTGGGAAATTAAAACAGTAAAACAAGTCATGGCATTCAACTTAGCAAATTGAGATACAGTGAATTTACTCACTGTTAATTTTAGTCATAGTTAACAGCCTTATTTGTGATTTGACGTGAAAGAAAGAAAGAAGACAATCAAGAAAAACAAGAACTCAACTTGACAAATGAAAAGTAGAAAATCAGCATTCCTTGCCAGAGTCAAGCCTTAAATTCTATATTCCATCATCCGGGTTTTATGTGCTTCAAGAAATTTAAGTGACATGTGCAAACTCATTGAAGGGAAAAAGAATCTAAGAAATCAATAACTATTTCAAAAAATTAGAAAAATTCATCAGCATACCTTTCTACTGCTCACCATTTTTCCTGAACTACGTTCTTCAGGCTTCCGTCGCTTCCTCTGCCAATTTCAGAAAAATATAAGTCTACAAGATAAGGAGATACATTTTGGTCCAAGTTCACTTTAGTACAGATAATCCAGAACATGTGTCGTTAATCGAACAATTCTGGTTTCCACAATATCAAAATTAATATATTAAAAACCAATTTTTCATATGCTGACATAGAATGAGACATGCATAATGCAAGTCGCAGTTGCATAATTTATCTGGATCTCTCGGCTTTAAAGCATCCTCTCTACGTTATAAATAATCATCTTCCTGTAAATTCTCTCACAATTCCCTCTCAACCGTTAAATTAATACAATAATCCTTTCAACCAGTAAATAACACCCAACAATCCTCTTATATTTGATTCAGAAGTTCGTTCGATCTTTCGTTATAAGGTAATTTTGTTATAATATTTTTTATTATACTTATTGTTTATTATGATTATTTGAAAAAATATTATAGTAATTGTTTTCAATTAATTTCTGTGCTAGTTCAAGGGGAAAACATGAGCATACATCGAAATATTTTTGCGGTGCAGGTAATAATATAAAATTATATTATTTAAATTATTTACGTTTATGTGTAAAAAATTTATTGTGTTATATTTTCGTTCATATATTATTTATTTAATCATGTTTGTTTCAATTGTTTTTTTGTAGATATAATATTGTCGCACTTTTAAACTCTAAGAATGACGCGACTTTCAGCTATTGTTTATTATGATGGAGAAATTCGAGAAGATGAAACCAACGTTGTTTTCGTATCAAATGAGCGTGTTAAAATATCATTCAAGAGAAACATAACTCTTGAGGAGCTGATAACGAAGATTTCGAGGAAAGTTCATGTTGGAAGTAGTAGAAGAATGTCGTTGTTGTTGTACAAATTTTCAACATCATTGTTGCCATTAACTTATACAGCGTTTGAACTATCGAACAATGATGATGTTGAAATGATGGCTAATTCTCAAAGTAATTATTCAGACGGTGATATTGAGATGTATACAAAGTTTGTTCAAGTGCGTGCTGTTCGGGGTCAGTCATTATGCTCCTACTATGGGCTGACTGAACAAGTTGATCAAGTTGACAGCCCGACTACAATAATGTGTAATGATTTTAACGCCATAATGGGAAATACGCATCATGGTGCCGTCACATCAACTTCAATGGGGAGACATTCATCCGCAACTCCTTACGATATGTATCGAGGTGGGTCCATGAACAATCCGTATGGCAACATCCGGAAGCCCCGGTGCATAGAAACATCCTTAAGTGTAATCGTGCACTCTCCGCACGGAAGATGAGATGTGTGAGTATTTGGCCTCCACCGCTCCACTAAGGCAGCTATAAGATCTGGTTCTATCTTACAGTGACCCTCATATCTACCTATGTGACCGAATCCAACCTCTACTAAATATGACAAGATACGACTAGGAATCACTAACTTAAGGTTCCTAATAAAATGATCTAATACACGATCTCTCTCTTAAAATTAAATAATAACAAAAAATAATTTTAAACTAATAATTATGCATTAAATAAATAAATAAATAAATAAATTATTACTAATAATTTAAATTATATTACAACGTAAAAATGTTATCGTATTAACAAAATATCGCTATATATGATTTTCATCCAATCGAAATAGATATCCTTTTATTTTATATCTGTAAAAAAAATTAAATAAAATATTAAAAAATTTAAATACTTAAATAAATTAAAAATAAAATATTAAATATAATAAAATATACCTTAAACAATTAAAATAGAATATAAGAGTATTTGAAAGTAGTTGAGAGGATTTGATGTGAAGAAAGTGATTGAAAATGAAAGTATTTATTGGGAGGGGAGGGGAGGGGAGGGGAGGGGGTGGGGGTGGGGTGTGAACGACCGAGGTAGGTGGGTAATTAAACCTAAGGCGCGCTGCAGGGGATGCGCCTTTTTGACGCGTGTCAGATTTAAAGATAAAGTGCAGCCTCTGCCCCGCGCTATACCTCACGTGGCGCCAGATCAACGTAAAGCGTATTGCAGGGAGGCGCCTTACTGTAAAGAGTGTTAGATCGAGAAAAATAGTCTAAAGGGTACCTGATAGGAAAATATGTAGGGTATAAGTGATATTTCGAAAAAAACGCCAAATGATTATGCCTTTTTCTTTCTCACTTACAAACCACTAAAATCTTTGCCACTGTTGCTTTCTGTATATTTATACATATATATGGAATCTTCTGGGTTTGGGTTCTTTTCTTTAGTTTAGTATGTCCATTTATGTTGATGGAGTGACAATAACAGATTAGCTTAGAGACCTCCACCCAATAGAAAGTGAAGCTTTGCAAGGCAATGAAAGTAAAGCTTAAAAAAAGGCTTAATATAAAAATAGGTGTCTAAACTATATCGTTTTTCTTAAATAATTGCCTAAACTATTTTTTGACTTATCCAAGTGACTAACGTTACAAACGTTACCCATTTAGGTGTCTGGGCCATCAACGACATTAATTTCCATCGTTAAGTGACACATGTCATAATTTAGTGATTTTGAAACTTTTTTTAAAAATATTGAACTTATTATTATATTTATAAAAAAACTATAATTTCTCTTAAATTATAAAATAGCCTCAAATCCCTAAAACCTCCAAATCCTAACCTTAACCCATCGTCACCGTCATTTCCGGCCACAACAACTGTCGTTGGCATAGCCCATGCTATCCTCCTAGTCATATATCGCTGCAGTTGCCGTCAATTGGCTGTTGGAATCATGTGAGATCATGATTTTCAACATATGGTTCCCAAAGTATAAAACATCGATGCATCGTTGATCAATCACGATTTCATAGGTGTTTTGGCCGTCGGGGGTAGGGGAGGTCGGGTGGAGCTTCGTCGACGGTAAAAGGCGATGGTTTAGGGGTTGAAATGAAAGTTTTCAAAGTTTTAAGTTTATTTCAAAATTTGTTTTTTCTTTTTTTTAAAATATATATATATATAGTTTTAATGTTTTAATTTTAAATAAAAATGTTAAATTATCAGAGTGTGACATGTGTCACTTAACGGGAAAATTAACATCGTTTAATGTCCTGACACTTAAATGGGTAACATTTATAATGTTAGGCACCTAGATGAGTCAAAAAATAGTTTAGACACCTATTTGGGAAAATCGGTTTAATTTAGACACTTATTTTAGTATTAAGCCTTTAAAAATGAAAAAAAAAGTTTGGGTTTTACTGGTTTAATTCCCCAAATATCCTAGAATTATAATACATATTATAAATTGGTGTCAAACTTTGAAATGTTCTCATAAAATCATCACAACCCTAAACCTATGGAGAGAATAACATTCTCCTTAATCACTTAATACACTTAATAGGTCCAATTTTTTTATAAAATTGATTTCATTTATATTAGTATAATAAATATAGGTGTATAATAATAATTGCAAGGGTAAAATACATAAATAGTCCTCTGAGTATATTATGTTTTTTAATCTCTTACTACAAAAATTATAAAATGACCATCTAACCTAAAAATAATAAACCAGTTTGATGTCGTTAAAAATTTAATGATAGATGATATGATAATTAAAATATTTGACATAATAACACATTTAAATATGCTTTTTATTGTTTATTTTAATTTAATCTTAATTTTAAAAAATAAATAATTTGATTGGCCTCATTTTTTGCCTGAAAATAACACCATAGTTAACCCATTCAAAAAAAATAAGTTTACTTCCACGTCTATAACTTGATATTGGATTCAAATGTTATGGTTTCAAATGACTGTTTTGTAACTTTTTATAATCAAAAGACTCGATGATATATATTCTATAATTAGAGGAGTATTTGCTTATTTTACCTTAATTGAAATATGATGATGTTGGAATTCAACAACAGTGGGAATCCCCTCGTAAGAGCATTTGATGCCAATTATTGTGGGCTCTCCACCTTTCCTTTTTGTTTATTTTTTATATGTTGTCTTCTTCTAACCGGGACTGTGCTGTCTCTCTCTCTTTATGGTTTATGATTGGATAAAAAACAAACAAACCACCTTTCATTGCTTTTAAGATTTATATTTTGATATTAGGATAAAGTATATGGTCTCTAACTATATAGTATTGTTTTGTTGAATCCAATGATTATCAAAAGTTATAAATTAGTCCTCTAACGATATGATGTTGCTTTGTTGAGTCTCCGACTATTAAAAGTTATAAAACGATCACCCGACTATTCATTAGGTTCCAAATTCTTCATTTTTCATTAAAAAATTTACTGTAGTCTAAGATAGATGTTAATATGTTATACGAGATATGCTAAAATATGATCTCAGAATCTCAAACGACTATCATATCTCAGACAACATATTAACATTCAGCTCAAATTTACTGTAGTCTAAGTTTATTTTAAGATATATAGTATTTTTTTCAGTGTTTTTAGGAAAATATGATATGTAGACGTTTATTTTAAGATCTATAATATTTTTTATAGTGTTCATGTAATTCATCACGTCGAGATGACTAGTTTTAATAAAATATAATTTTTTTTATTAATTTTTATCACATCAGATAAAAGGTACGTAATGAATTTTAAATCACTGTAACAAATCTCTAAATAAAGATTAATAAAGATTTTCTTTATTTTTTCCCTTCAATTTTCATAACGATCTCGAAACGTTACTACCATAATAATTCTAAGAATCGATAAATTTCATAAATATTAATATAAGTAAAGGGAAAACATATTAGAATAGAAGTTCATTAGCTTGTCCACTGGGTCAAAGCCATGTATTTGGTTTTAAAGTGCACAATTTTTTATATATTGTGTTTGAGATTATTTCACACACACATATATATTAAATTATTAAAAAATATAATAAATAAATATAGTAAATTATAATCAATGTAAGACTTAAAAATAAAAACGATTTTAATATTTTTACAACTATTTTTAAATAATAATAAATAAATTATATTAAAATAAAATTTTATTAAAATCATTTAAAGAATCCAAATCGCAAAATAAAAATAAATTTAATATTTTATTTAAATTATTTTTAAAATTATTTTTAAATAATAATATATAAATTATATTATAAATAAAATTATATTAAAATTATTTAGAGAATTCAAATCACAAAATAAAAATAATTTAACTTAAAAAGAATATTAAACTTATTTTGTTTTTTAATTCTTGCATTGACTATAATTTAATATATATGTGCAATATAATTTATTTATTAGATTTTTTTAATAATTTAATATATATATATATATATATATATATATATATGTATGTGTGAAATAATCTCAAACACAATATATAAAAAATTGTACACTTTAGAATCAAAAACATGGCTTTGGCCCAGTTGCGAAAGCTTACCCGGGGACCCCAAGGTCCTTGGTTGAATCCACCCAAATGCACTTATATTCCAATATGTTTCCCCTTTACACATGTGGTGATCTGATTGGTGGAAAAAATTATTTAATTAAGATATTAAAATTAATTAAATTCACTCTCCAATTATATAGTGACATGTGACACATTCAGATTGGAGGACTAAATTTAATTAATTGAATTAAAATAGTAACTAAATCGATACAATATGTAAATATTAAGGACCAAATATATAATTATATCAATTTTATTAACGGCCACATAATCACCTCTGCTAAAAATTAATGACCAGTGGTCCATTTGATCACTTCTAAACATTGGTCGTCAAAAAGGTTGATGACCAAAGTTCGGTGGTCACCCGTGTAGTTTACCCTTAATATAAAACATAGAAGAAGTTGTCATACAATTGCTCATAAGTCAAAATTTCTTTTAGAAAATGACGCACCCAGTCAAACATAAAGTTGTTATTTGGGAATATTACACCTTTTTTATTCATCTAAATATTAAATTCAAATTATTAGGAGCTACCATATAATATTTTTTTTTGTTAAAACATAAATTTGGTTGTAACATAGGTTTCATTGGTTAATATGATAAAAACAATAAGAAAATAATATCATACAGTAGATATATTGTGATTTATGGTTAATATGATCTTTTATATGAATTAGGAGTGTTTAGGGATGATAATGGAAGAGATCGAGATACAATTTTTAGTTGATTTGAACTCGATCCGATACTATTATAATAAATTTTGACTTAAATCTAAAAATATATATCCATTTCAAATTTTCAATTAACAACATGTAGATTTGTAGGACATACACGAACACATACTTCACAAGCAATGCATTTATCGAATTCAAAATGGTTTCACCCTCGAAAACACTCTGATATGATAATTTTTTTTATAAGAACATTGAATAATTACGAGTAAACGATTTGCATTATCGTGAAACCTTGACTAGTGCACCTTGCTCCTCGGACAGTTTGGTGGGCATAATTCATGAATCCGCACACATCATGTAAACATAAATGTTCAAGTTCTTGATTCTGAAAAGAAAAGAAAAAAATAACAACACTCTCTTTTACTATTGAGATAATTCAATGGAATCCATATATATTTCAAATTTAGGGTAAATTACACGTTTAGTGGCTAAACTATCGGGCTTGATCTGTTTTAGTACCTAAACTTCCATTTTTTTCAAAACCAATACCTAAAGTTTAGTTTGTTGTTCATTTTAATACACCACCATTAGAAACTTTAGTTTTTGTTCCATTTTAATACCCCGTTTAAAATTTAATGTTAAGTTTTGAATTTTTTTTTGAAAGTTTAGATACTAAAAACGGGTCAAAACTTATAGTTCAGGTACTAAACACGTTAGCGGCGGAGTACTGAAATGAAATGAAAACTAAACGTTATGTATGGTTTTGAAAACTAAACGTTATGTATGGTTTTGAAAAAATTGCAAATTTAAGTACTAAAACGGATCAAAACTAATAGTTTATATACTAAATATGTAGTTTACCCTAACATTTATATTTAAAACTTCTTTTGTATATGTACTAAATTATTGTGTATTATGTCAATGCAACCGACCCTAGACAAAGATGTTTTTGAAACTATGTAGTATAATATACGTTTTTGTTAATAAAGGTCAAACATCCCTGGCACGAACCAACTTACTTCAGTGGTTAAAGAAATCGTTGATCGAGAGTATTTAAAACATATACTACTTTGTAATCACCTTAGCTTAATAAAAAAAATCATCCCGGCCCGGGGCTTCAGTTTACTATGATATGAATTAATTAAACTTTCTTTTTAATTTTTTAATGGTCATTAAGAGCATCCGATTGTTAATAATAATACGGCACCAGAATATTTTGTTTTGTTTATTAAAATAGAAAATCCTCACGAGTGCCAACATTTTTTTTAATATTTATTAAGAGACATATATAACTAACCTTTTTACTAAATTACTAAATTCCAATAATTAATCAAATAATGCAACCACGACGACATGTGATGTATTATTCTTTTATTTGAGAAAAAAAGGGGAGATTCCAATTTGGTCTAATAAAAAGTCTGTCTTTGAGTTCAAAATTCGAGACAAAGCTTTATTATTTAAATCCAGGTTTAAGGGCGGTTTGTTTGCCTCTTAATGGAATCATTCAGCGTTGAATACTGAACCGTTCAGCATTCAGCGCGTTTGTTTTGCACCTCTGAATGATTCAGTGCTGAATGATTCAGCACAGATTCAGCACAGAAGTACATTCTGAATCATTCAGAGCCAGTTATCAAAAAACATGTCACATTCAGAGCCAAACCATTCA